TGTGTTGAGCCTCTTAGGTTTTCGTAAACCGTCGACATTATTATTGTCGTGCGTTGGTCTCGTCGAAACTCGACGCCACATGTGATTTGTTGTTGCCCTTCTTAAATATTAATGTTCTTGCAGGGCGACGGCCAGTCGGTCTTCGATCAGCGCCACAACATTGTCATGGAACGTGTCCATGGCCTGCCGATGTTGCGGCGACATGCGCAGCCGAGGCGCCGTATCCGCCACTGACACGGTGCCCAACACGTGTCCGTCCGACGTGCGTAGCGATCCAAACGCACCTTTGAGCACCGCCGCGCCCTGGTAGATGAGCGTCACGCAGCCGTTGGCACACTCCATGTCGACACACACTTCTTCGTACAAGACGTCGTGGAGGCCGTTTGGCGCCCACATCCAATCATGCTAACATTTGGAGTTGGTCTTCGAGTCGCGTCGTGATCGTCCTCGTGGCTATGGCCGACGTGGCTGCTGTCGTTACTACTTGCGCGGCTGCTAACGTGGCTGCTGCTGCTGCTGTTGCTGCGACGAGGGGGGGGGCGACGACGACTGGTTGTCGGCAATGTCGTACGGATGATCTTCTTGCAGTGTCGTCGTCGAGTGGCTGGTGGAGGTACGGTAGCGGCGGCGACGATCATACTCGTCATCGCTACCTTCGTCTTCGTCACCTTCTTCAATGTTGGCCGCCTCCATTTCCAACAGCGGCACGACGTAGCGTTGTGGTTGATGGGAATGATCCTTGGAGGCCATTGGTGTCCGAAGCGACGACGACAGTTGGGGGTGCAATGTCATGGTGCGCATCATGGCATCGGCGTCTGGATTGAAACTCAGGCGTTCGCGCAGCACAATGGGCTCAACGGTGGGTGGTGGTGGTGGCCGTTCTGTCGGAGACGGTTGCGATGGGGCGGAAGGAGGCGGCACCACGGGGACGGCAGTCTCGGCAACGCACCCGAGGCACAGCTGCACGTCAAACACGTTGGCCGGGTCGACTTGGACGTTTTCAAGCACGGAGAACCCCCCACAGAACGGCATGGTTCAGGCACTACAGATCGCCACGGCCAGAACACATGGCAGCCAGGCATACCTGGCAAAGTGGGCATTTGGTGCATGTGTGGCACGCCCGCGGCAACGTCGAGCTGGTCGTCGCTGCAAGCAAGTACATGCATCTTCCAGCTAGTCTGTTTCATTGGCAGACCCAATGACCACGGGTCTACCACGCATACAGTATACAAGGACACCCCATAGCGATTCATTCTGCACTGATCGGAGGGCTATTACCGCGGCTCACGCTAGCTACTTGAAGCGATTGTTGGATACACATGGGGG